ATTGGCTCTCTTTCTCTGGAGACTCTGACTAAGAAAATGTGGAATAGCAGTATGAACTAGGACACAGGAATGCTTGGTTCTGTTAGTAGCTAGGCATTATTAGAGCATAAAGCACAGTATAGGGGTTTGGTCTCTGTGGAGACTCAATTTAGTTGACTAAAAGAATACTGTACATGTCTCTTTACTCACTATCATGTCCAGGAGAGCAGGCAAAGTCTCTCTGAATTGAGTTGACGGTTCAAGCCCCCCTGTAGCACCCCGGGCAGTTCCTAGCTTGGCCTGGGATCATTTGTTTCTCTTCCTGGGCCTCGTCTGGTGTCTTTCCTGACAGCAGTTGGTGCTTAGGGCTGCAGAGCACACTGCCATTGATTTTTAATTCAGTCAGGTCAGGTGACCAACACTGAAAGTAATGGAAGCCTTTTTTGACATAGACTACATGCAAAGCACAGGAGTCATACATCTGTTCTCAAACCACTGTTGATCAAAAAGTAGCCATTTACCCATAATCACTAAGCTACAACACATATTTTGACAATGTCCTAACTTCTTGGAGGCCCCTGGTGATTTTTTCTGAAGTCTTTGAGGGACCTGAGGCCTGCTCCTTCGGGCACTTCTGCTGGCTAACGTACATACCCTCCACCTGGAGACCCCAGTGGTCTGGCGTCTCTGACTGTGCCTTGGTGAGGTTCCCAAGGGCTTGTCACTAGCTGTGTGTCACAGAGTCTGTGCTCACGCAAATGGGGACTGATGGTCATGATCCAACAGGCCTGAGCCCTAATGGGTAGGCTCTGGGGACGTACAGACTTCTGTGGAGGTATCACTTGACTGCCAGGGCATGACATGGCTGCCTCAGCTGCTAGCAGGGCTCCAGTCACAAGGGACATTTATCCACTTAGTGTAGTTAAGGGGAAACAAAAAAAAGTGATGTGTCACTCAGTAGGCTGCTGTGCTGGTGTTTGTGGAACAGAACCAGAACAGATAGGTGCTTTCCATTTTTTTTTCATTTTTAAATTTTTGGGGTACTGGGAATTGGACTAAGGATTTTGCACTTGCCAAGCAATGCACGGTGCCACTGAGCTATATCCCTGGCCAAAACAGGTGCTTTTCAAAGGAGGAGTTTCCCACAGCAGTGACTTTGCTTCTATGCAGTGCTGGGGTGCAGGTGTCTAGGTGTGGTGTTGTACATGTGGGGAGAGAGAGAAAAGAGAGAGGCTAGGAGGAGAAGGAGGAGAAGGAGGAGAAGAAAAGAAAAGAGGAGAGAAGAGGAGAGGAGAGGAGAAGAGAAGAGAGGAGAGAGATGGGGGAGGGAGAGAGAGGAGGAACAACAGAGCCCTTTACAGCTTGGAGCGTGGTAGTTTGCAAGTGGGGTCAGGGACTCTCTTCTCTGCCAAATAGTCTGGATTAATGTAACAACCACTGTTGATTTGTATTATCTTGTCTTGAGATTCTGTATCACTCTGAATGTTCTTGCTTTGATTTGTTTATGTTTGTGATACCAGCATGCTGCTACTGTTCCATTTCTTTGTTTGTTTCTCATTTACTTCACTCTTTAAAATAAAAAAAAACCAAAAAACTAATATTATGGCAAAAGAGCACAGAAGCTAACCTGAAGGAGCTGCCAGTGCCCAAATCTGGTACACTTCAAGCAATAAATCAATGAAAATGGTGAAAAATAAAAGGCCAAAATAAAGTGCAAAAACTTGTATTTGTGCCAGGTGCTTAAAAATAAACCTTTTCTCTTGCTCGAATTCTGATATTCCTGGGTTCCCCCAGGAATGAAATTCTTATTCGTTTGTTTACAATGATTTGTTAGATACCTAACACCTACTAACCTACTATATGTGAGGCATTAAGGCCACGCTAGTTAAAAAAACAAGCAAACAAACAAAGCAGCCCCATACAGCTGCCCTGGTGTAGTTTATGTTCTGGAAAGACCTCTTTCAAGCCTCATGATGAGACCTGTGCTTTGCTCAAGGCAAGGCAAGGCAAGTCCAGGACAGGAGCAGAAACAACAGCCATACCAGAAGCCAGTTCTAGATGTTCCCCTGTGCTGCCCCTGGATGGTCCTGGATGTCCCTGAAGGAGCCCCTCAACTCCCCTCTGCTGAGCAGTGCCCCTCACCCCTGCCGTGTTGAACATGCTGTGCTCATATGAGCTCTTCAGTTGACCAGTCTCCTCTTGGGCTGATGATTCTTTCTCACTTTTTCTTTTTCTAGTTGTTTACTATTCAATCATCCATTACTTATCTTGTCTATTGCCTTGTCATTTTCCATTTATCATCTTACTGTGTCAAAATTGTGCATTTAATCTTCTAATGATGTTTTCCTTTAATGCTTCTGGTTAATAACAGTCTTTTCAAAGTCTGAATACTCCTCTTTTTAAACATTATTTTTTTGTGACTGATTATTTTCCCGACTCCTTTCTTTTAGGCTCTATAACAATTGCATCACCTTGTTCTTGAGGACGTTTATCATGCTACATGGATGCAATTCTTTCTTCTATTCCTCAGTACTTCCTAACGCTGGGAAGCCATATTGCTGTCATGAAAATCATAATGTCTTTGAGTGGAGCTGTTCTTAGCAGCAGCTCATTTACCTGAGTCACCTGCCCAGTGTGCTCCATGCCCCCAGAGAAAAGCAGCTGATATTTGAGCAGTATCTTTCAGTATAAGAGAGCCTCAACTTTATCTGGTTTGATTGTACTACAGTTCTGCAGTGAGTTACCCCATTTTATATTTGAAGTCCCTGAAAGAATAAGTAATGTTACCTGCCCAAAGTCACAATTTATTAATAATACAGCAAGAGTTGGAAATTCAGCCTTCTGATTGTGAAGGACATCATGTTTTCATGACCAAATCATTCATCTTTGGAGAGTTCATTAAAGTTCTTCCCCAAAAGTGAGTGCGGGATATTAGTCAAAATTCTTCAGGAGCAACTTAAAATACGGAATACCTAAAATATGGAAGTTCTTAATAGCCCAGTTTTAGGTTTAGTCAAGTAATCTATAATTCTGAAATGTTAGGAGTATGACAGCTTTGGGGAAGGTCGGGGTGACCATCATTATTACTGGCTTTATTCATGCTTTATCTTTGTTGTTAAAAAGACCTTTTTAGAAAGCTGGCCCTTTAAGGGTAATGGCTTTCTGAAATTCACTCCAAAATGTGTGTTTCTGTCATGAAGTTAAAGTAGACCAATGGAACCTGATTTAGTGGCTCCAAAGTGTACAAGGGTGTGATCAATTTTAGAGCTTAAAAAACTACTGCTGTGGCTATTTTGTCCTTCAGCCCTCATGCATACCTATCAAAATTTAAGTATCAGAGTAAATTCCAGTTACTTTCCCTGGGAACAGGGAAACCTTTTATTAAGACAATATATCATAAAATTCATGTTTCATGATTTAAAAAACATTCTCAATAAGAAAGAAAAATGCCACAAGAAATGAACTTACACTCCAGGGTAGGACAGGTAAGAATTTGCATGGCTGGAAGAATGATTTGGTATACAGAACCATTAAATTTAAAGAGGTTCTAAGAATCAGACCTCTCATTTCCAAGAATGATGGATATTTTTTCTGATAGGAGGTGGTCTTCTGTAAGTGACAGCAGATACTGATTATCAGTTTTGAAATCATTTCTGGGAAGCCACAAAGAGAATAGTGTGGATACCTTCTCCCCTTTGGCTAATAAATAATCCTTGCTAATAGATTCCTGTATTTTCAAAGCTTGATGATTTGGACGATAGCTTCTCTAGCATACCATAACTCAGATGCACTTGAGATTTGCGTTTAACCTTATTTACACTTTCAGATCTCCTTTACTTCCTACTAATCACCTTGGCTCTTTATTACTACTTCAAATAGGGGTGACTTACTATCTATCAGACTTTAAAAAAGAGAAATTGTTTACAACACTGATATTTAACCAAGAGGAAATGCTCGCCCATCTGAAGGTAGAAAACATATCAAAATCTTTCTGTGGTGTTTTAGATCTGTAGTTCTGCCTTTTGCCTGAGCTTTCGTGTACACCCTCGCTTGTGCTAAGCATTACTGTGGTTAATATGGGATAAGTACAGATTGAAAAAAATGGAAGAAATACCCTGTACTGAAGGGAATGTACAGTAGGATTTCAGACATTTTGATGGATGAGGGGAATACTTTCAAACAAGAAATCTGACCCATGATCACTCAAGTGAGAGCATACGAAACTTATTATCAGCACTTTTGTAATTTTGTCTATTCCTAGGGAGAAAAATGAAAATAGAAGTCCCTTTAGCTAGCAAACTTATGTCTCCTTCTGGACATACTTGTGTTCAAACTTATGTCCCCAAAAAAGAGCAAAATGTATTATTTGGGAAATGCTCAACTGAACTCTGGAATATTTAGGACATACAATGTTATATAGAACTGAGATTATAAGCATCTTTAAGTGATAGTTTTAGATTTTTCTTATACTCTAATATCCATCTGGCTTAGTGTTCTACAGGAAAATTATCACCCACACTTGCACTTCATGTTATAGAAAGCAAATTTGAGTGCAAAACTCAGTATGTTACATATTTATAATGCTTTACTTTCAAAGCTTTATAACGTTGTAACTTCACTGGTTCCCTCTGACAGTCCTGTGAAGTTGTAGAATGTCTTGTTTCCCACACTTGACAGGAAATGGAGGTGCAAAGTCATGCATAAAATGATTCATACAGTTAATGAGATGTTGGTTCAAGGCTAGAAGGTAAGTCTTTTCATTCCTAGTTCTATGGTATTTTAACTAGTTCATTTACATTAAATTTACAAGGGTAACATCTGGGCTACTAACTGTTGTTCTGACCCCTTTCATTAATTAACATAACTATTACAAAGAGAAAAATGTTTCAGAGTTGAATATGCCATTTCTCTGGAATGGGCAGGCCCCCCTTCACCTCTAATGAAACCCACACATTATAGGATTCCAGACATATGTAGAATTTTACTCAATCAAAAAGGCTCAACAATCCAGGAAAGAACAATTTTACTTGATATTTTTATTCACTTAACAGAAACATTCACTTATCAGATATCACTGAAGTGCAATTTACAGAAGAGGCAAATTAACATGTAAATTCATATTTTAAGGGTTTTTTTTTTTTTTACAAATATTACAAATGTACATCCATTGGTACAATATTGCCATTCAATCATGCTTTTTATGTACATACCTTCAATTAAGAATTACTATTTATTAAGTTCTTTTTGCTTAAAAATGCTGAAAATTGACTGGGCACTGCGGGGAAAGATTTTATTTTTACTTATGCATGTACTGCAGAGTGGTAGAAATCTAGTGCCTTGTGAAAAGAGGCAGTATAATCTAGCTAATTTTATATTTATTTTTAAAGGATATTTCATCTCTCCAACTTTGAATTCAAAATGATGAGTAGGGAAATAAGGTACTTCCTTCACCAGAGTTTGATACAGTGCACATTTCTCTGTAGGGATGATACCATTTGGTCTTAATTTCTAGAAACATGTCATCTGTGTTCCTTTTGTGTCAGATTGGATGGAAATATTTCAGGAGTCCAAAAAGACCATCATAAATCCCTGCAGTCAAAGTATCACAGAACACACAGGGGCATCCTCACCTTGAGCACCAATCTACTATATAGATCAGCTCAGGGCCAGATGCAGACCTGAGACTTGATTCCTCTCTGTTATACTAAGAAATCAAAACAGAAGTGGCAGAAGTTCAGGGATAGGGAGGAGCAGACAAAAGAAGGGCAAGAGAGAGGCAAGGGAGAGAAAAATGATGAGAAAGGAATAGAAAGGTAGAATTAGTGGATATACGAACAAAGAGTGGTGGCGACGGTCACCTCTTCAGAGCTGACTAGTAGGAGAAACCGTGTGGGAACAAACTCTGATTGCTTTCCATGGCTGTATCTCTGGTCGTCTACATAGATTGTCTCTTTGTTTCTGTTTCATCCCGGCATCCTTCACTTTTCTGATTTGAAATTCGTGAAAGAACTTTGGAGGTGCGCTTATGCCAGAGTACCCAGAAACAGCTGTGCTCTAACGTTCAACAATGAGTCAGGACCATGGACAACCACGTGTGTCCGCCTCTCCATCTTTGCGTCCTCCTCCACAGTGTCCTCTCTCCATCCGTTGCCATAATTATCCCTCACAGATATTATTTCTGCTCTTCCCATGCAGAAACTTCCTGCGGGACTTCGCGGATGGAGTGGATTTGTACAGCGAGGAGCTACTTCATGGACCTTTCCTGTAGTACAGAGCTTGTAATTCTCCACTCCAACTGTGAATTCTGTAGAAACTCAGAGTGATAGCTCTTCAAAATGTGCAGGACAGTAGATTTCCTAATCCTGGACTAGATTATGGACTCTGCAAGCTGTATTAGAGAACGGTGATGGAGAAACTAGGAAAGGTACATCAGGTTTTGCTGAGTGCTGAGTGAAAGACTTTTGCCCAAAAAAGTGGCTGTAGCTTTCAAATGGTAGTACATAAAAAGATAGACTTTTCTTCTAACATCCCTTTGGTCACTGTTAGAAAGTGATATTTATATTATTTTTGGCCAATTAGATTATTTCATTAGAATGGCTTTTTAAAAAACAAGTATCTAAGTCTCCCTAAATTAAAAATGCCTATTATATTTAACTTTCAATTGTCTTTTTAATTTTTTAAAACAAGATACTATAGACTCATCTTGAAGTTTATAATCTAAAAATAGGATTTCATCAAAATACTCTAACTATTCTACTCTGGGAATTGATATACTATGCATTTACTGCTTATGGCTCTCCAGATATGGTAAACACTACATCAAAAAAAGTTAACCTTATTGATAAGAACAGTGAAAAGGAAATTATATGAAAAAAATATGAACTATGTGTTTGTTTGAAAAGCAAACATTTCTGCTTGACATTTCTGAGAAACAAGACATCACAAAAGCAGTAGTGGTGTGAGAGATATATACAAGTTTAAAGAGAATCACAGAAATAAAAAAGGAAAAAACAGTTATAGACTCACAAATCCTATCGTTGGCAAAAACATAAGCCAAAGCAATCCTAAAGTGAACATTTTATATTACACATTGCTGTGAAACCTTGTGCTGGAGGTGGATGAGCAGAACCTGTATGGCCTCATGGCCTTTTTCCCTGGGCTCAGTCCTGCAAAAAGGCTCAGAAATGATCAGACACTGACTTTTTGACTAAGAACCAGGCAGGAAACCTTAACTTCCCCAGTAAGAAAGCAATGTGTGTTTTGAAGGCAGATAAGCATGGTTTTGATTTTATTTGGATTGTAGTCATGGAGCCAAATAGGTGTGAATATAGAATACAGAAAATTTGAGAGCAAACGAAGCAGAAAGAATTATGGAATTGGTAGTTCTGATGCACATCAGATGGATAGGGGAGGAAGGTAACTTAGGTGCCTAGGAATTCTTTGACTGTATATTTTGTTCATCTTCATTTTGTTTTGCTCAGTTATGGTTTATTCAGAGTGATTAGAAATTACACATCACCTATTTGTGTTTTGTTCTCATTACAAATCTCCATTGGGGATTTGCCTTTAAGACTAATTCAGCAGTCAAAAAAGGCAGGATGGACCTAGCCTAAAGTAGTGTTGAGATATTTTTCTTAACACTGAATGAGAATGAGATACTCAGGCTTCTATTACTGGCCCTTTTGTCTCAGGGTAATATGACTTGTCCCTTCTAGGTATAACAGACACTGCACCAGAATCCTGTAACTGGCCACTTCTAAGCTGGATCAGGTTTCCCCAGTCAGGTGCAGCATATACATGGCACCATCTGGTCATGGTGTGCAGTCTTAATTTGGCTTCCTGTTTGCTTCAGCGAATAAATGCAGAGTCCTTTCACTCTTGCTCTTAACTCCCCTCTAGTCCCTCCACTTCTTGAAGGCTCTTTCCCTAGCCCCTGGCTTTCTCACACTATCATACCCTTTCTCCATTTACTGCCTGGTCCCATTTCCCATTTCATCTCACATCTACTTGGACAGATATGTCCTTGGAAAAGCGCCAGTTTCCTAAACTTACTTTTAGCTTCATGGAAAACTCTTCTCTTGCTACAGTGCTCTGCAAAGTCTTCATCTCCTTCCAGAATATCTCCTTTTGAATCACTTACTAATTGATTCTCAATGCTAGTACTAAAGGTAAAATGGAGTCGGTGGGTAGCTTTCCTCACAAGCAGATATTTATGTTTTACTTAAGTCTGTTTGTATTTTCTTTTGAAGAGCTAATGCCTAGAAAAAGTGAATCATGGCCACATAGCTTCAATCCAGGGAGGTAGAGATGTTAATTACTGGGAAGGTAATTGCATTCCATGTCTCTTGAATCAGTCATATGAGTGGCTTTAACTGATTCCTTTTGTGAGATACCCTACCTGCCTCTTTTCATCATGGTTAAGATCCTGCTGCTGCTGCTAGTCTTATTCTACAAAGAACATTGTTTGGGGTACAATGATGTGAAGTATTCTCTAAGCAACACTCCAGTAATTTGAGGTTAAGGCCTTAGATTTTAACCAGAAACCAACTGTGCCCCTATACTTTTAAAGACTGGCTCTAAATATCTACTGGTTGAGTCAGTGTTTAAGCTGCAATCAGCTCTCATGGTTTTGTGGTTCTCTAAGGTTTCTATAGGAATCTAATCTAAACTGGTCCTTTGATCTTAGTTTTTACATTGAAGTAGGATTTCATGTTCTTCAGTTTCTATGAAAGCATATTATGAATCATCTATGTGCAAAACATGTTCATGTTTTTCAAAACTTTATCTTAAAAAGGTTGTCTACTACAGTGCCCATTTTCTTTTCTAGAAGGACTTGAGTGATAAATTTGACCACATATCAAATTCCAGGAAAAGTTTCTATTTTCATACTAGTATCTCTACTTCTTGTTTTCTTATATCAAATACCTACAACTCAGTTTGTTTCATTTTTGCCTCATTGTTATATCTGCCGTTTATACTAGACTATGTACAGCACGATGCAATGCTTACATTTCTGTGGGGTGGTATGATGGAATTCTAACTGGGGACCCTATAGACCGGAAATGACTACTTGTATGTTTGGTTATTTAACATAATGTACTTCATATAGGGATTTTTAGACACTTGTTAATTGGCATGATGAATGCTCAAAATGAATTCTAGTGATAAAACAAAAATAATTCAAGGAACATATGCTGACAGAAGGTATGTTAAAAGTGTACCTCTCCCTTGTGTGAATCTAGGACCTCTCCTGTCAGGAATAGTGCTGTGGACTAAATTTTAAATGTCCTGTGCCCAGCTGTGGACTTGGTTTGATGGCTGTTCTAAAGGTGGTAGAATCCCGCCTATTCCATTTTGTAAGTTAGTTCTTTTAGTTATGAAATATGGTGATTAGAACACCTAAAATGAAATCTCAAACCTAAAGATCATCTTGAATGTGGGTTTTTTGGGTGCTTGTTTTACAATAAAAATGTTGTCAAAGAGTCAGAATTTGGTGTAAGACTCAGTTCCCTTTTACTTGGTGGGGAGATTGTAGGTAGTGGCTAACCCTTATATAACTCAAACTTCACCATCTATCATTATCTACCAAAAGAAACAAAGTGTTGTGGTTGACTGAATAAGTATGTGTTGGTTTGCAACACTCACTTAGCAAGAAGTTTAGAAATGGTTTTCTTATATCATAGATTACAACTCCTTGGTGCCTTGGATAAGTATTCCTTTGTGTTGCAGGAATGGTTTTCATTTCTCTGGTCTTATTTTAGTTGTTCTTTAGTGTTGTGCATTTCAAATCCTCTTTGAAAGAAGATGGAATAAGACATCTAAATGAATAACGAAAATAATAGAGCATTCCTGTTGATTTCTTTGGGGGGAGCCCATGGCTTTTCTCTTTACTTGTGGCTTACCTTCAAATGTCTCATAAATTTGTGCTAGTGAGACCCAAACTTGTAAGTAGAGAGGTACATGGTAAGGGAGGGAAGCCAGAGGATGGTGCATGGGGCCAGTTTCTAACTGGCCACACTTCAGTACCCCTTGTCAAGGCTGCAACTCAGCTCCCCTCACCAGAATAGAAGCTTTTCCTTTGATACCACCAAGAACAGATGGAGCTAATACAATGGCACTTTTACCTCTAGGTATGGTGGACAATGTTCTAGGAACTAGAAGCCTAAGGAAAAGCAGTATGTCCTGAATTCAAATATAGTTACTCATTCAAACATGGAACTTGTGTGTTTCTGGAACACTGAAGGAAAATGAATGCTGAGAACCAATGGACACACCATGTTGCTCCACACACATGACTCCATCCTCTCCAGATGCTTCACTGTGGTCCAGTAGCAAAGGAGTCTAACAACTTAGAGAGTTAGTAGAAACTGATCTTGCTCTGGTGGTTTCCTTACCCAGGTGCCCAGGCCAGCTTTCTGAAAAGCCTTGAACAGCTGCTGTTTAACAGACTGGTAAGTGTGGGCCCCTAGCTTGGCCTCACAGTACATGGATGGTGTGTCTCCATGGATGGGTATCCTTGTGCTCAGCTGTGGACAGGAAGGAGAGAAAGAGAGGAAATTAACTGCCAGTAGAAATAGGAGCCTGTACCAGAGGCGTTTTACATACAGAACACCTACTCTTGGCTCAGTCTTTGCTTTTTCTTTAGAACAAAAGAGCAAAACTATAAGGAGCAACTGTAGTGATAACTACCAAGTTCTATCATGTGGTTCTCTGGAAAATTCAGTTATTAAGGGAATTTTGTGAGAGTTCTAATATGGCTGGATAGAGGAGGAGTCACACCTGAGAGACTCAGAAGCAATTTGACTTCATCGAAAGTGGGAAAGACTAATGAACTTAGGGCTGACTTTTCTTTAGTCATAGGAGGAGGATTAGGGGCTTGAAGTTGGTGGTGAGGGAAAGATGGTTGTAGGTATTACATAACATCATGACATGCTAGAAAGACAAAGAGTTTTGAGGTATTATTTTTAGTGGATCAACATGACAACAAAAACTGTGTATTTTCCACCAGGATTCTGAGTTGTAACAAGCAAAGTTTGGAGCCAAATATGGCTTCAGTTCCTGGTGTTTGGGTTGGGGGTCAGGAGGAAGGAAGGCAGGCCTGTGGTGGGCAACTCTGAAGGTAGGGTCTTCTGGGGAGATCTTCAGGCTGCAGAAAAGAAGAGCCTTTTTTTGTTTAACAATGAAATCAAAACTTCCTTGACCTGGTAAAGATTGTAGAAGAAGGGAGACATGGGAAAGGACCCAGAGCAGGCAGGATGGAGGCTGTAGATGCCTGGACACAGACTGATGTCCATGTGCCATGGCTGTGGCAGAGGCAGAAGCTTAGAGCTATATGTGCAACTTTCAGTGTCCTCTAACTGACAGAAATGTTTAAACCTTAATAACACTGTTACGCCTATTGGGAGACATTGCCTGGTTTAAATATGTATAGAAAAATGAACACAACATTTTTTATTTGTTGGCTTTTTCCTCCAGTTATTTGTTCTGTTTTTGTTTATTTGTTTACAGTCTTCTATGCTTTTGAAACTCAGGAACATGCAACTCAACCTAAACCCCTGAAATGTAATTACTATTCCTATTTATGGAAGAGAAAGTAGGTTTCAAACCATTGTTGTCAGGGAAATGGGTCAGTTTCAGGAGCAAGGGGGGATTGTAACCCCGACATTCATTACTTGTAAAATTTGGGCAAATAACATACTTTTTCTGAGCCTTAATGTCTTTATAGCGAAACTGGGAATAATACTGATCTTAAAAATTTTGTGTGTACCTTTCTAATGACCCCAGGCAGATTGTTTCTACTGTTGGGTAAAGCAGTTGGCATGCTGTGTGGCTTGATTTCTTAGAGCCACACTTCCTGAACTCTAATGTTGCTGGTCTGGGGACCCTGCACTTGGGTAGCATTGTCTTAAACTTACAGGTGAAACGCTATTGGGCTGGGCAGTTGGGAGAGTACAATGGGAACTGGATTTTGCAACCTGCCACAGTACCCTCATTTCAAACAAAATGATGGCCCACATCCATGAGCTTGGTCAGGACTTGATCTGAATCCAGCTGTAGCCAGTTTTTCCCCAGAAAGACAGGTGCCACCTACCCTACCATACAGCTGTGCCCACCGGGCAGAGAACACGTGCTTGCAGAGCCTGGATGAGCCCCCGCAGCTCCTCTTCCCAGTTGTGGCATTAATAATCTCCAGATCTGCATTGCCCATGACCCAGTTCACACTGAAGGGGGGAGACTTTCCTGGCTGCCGCACCTCGGCATTACTCACCCCTGTCAAGAGAGAAACAGGAAGCAGCCAAGCGTTAATGTTCTCGGCCCCAGACAGGGCTCCCACGAGAGCGGGTAATGGGAAAGAAGCCTGCGCTGGCACGGCTCTGACACATGCATGTACACATCGTCCTGCTTTTTCTCTTTAAAGCGTGGTTAGCTCCTGCTGAGGTCATCATTTTACTCATAGGAATAGAGGCTGAAAATCTAGCCTGACCCTGGTGACAGCCTACTGCCTAAAGCCATTACTGTACTTGTTTTTAACCTTCTCATTTAAAGGATTTTGTGGGGTATCTTGTAACAATAATTTTGGCCCAATTTTTTGCTCTACTATATTTGTTGAGTAAATGAATAGACAAACAGAGCCAGGTAAGAACAATCCAAGAATGTGGGCACCACATTGTCACCAACTGCATGCCCAGCTTGGTTCAAGGCAAATAACAAGGGTGGGATATAGTACCAGACAGACCCTTAGGATTATAATCTACTTTATGAAAGAAAAAGAAAAGCTAGTATAAGTGAAAGGGATATTTATGTTAGACAATTAATCAAGTAATCTTATGTAGAAACAGTACTGGCTACAAAATTTTCAAAGTTCGTGGCAAATATTAAAATGTGAAGCCTCTTATTTGGAAGTTATTAATAATTTGAAGATGACAACAGAGCCTTAAACCAAACCTGGGTCTTCCTAAACACAAGGTGTTGTGTGACTGAATGGGTCCCATGGCCCTGAAGTTCATTCTTCCCAGAGAACATCTAGATTTTCAGGGAAGTCTTTCTTGTCAGATTGCATGTTCTTACTTTTAATTGGGGATGCCCAGTCCCTGCAACTGTTGCTCCCTCATATAGCAGAGCAGAGAGAGAAGGTGGAGTGTTTCCACTCTGCGTGGCATCTGATTTGCAGCGTGTGGGCTGCCCTTGCTCTCTAGCTTCTAACTTTAATCCCAGCCTCAGCTCCTTCTCAGTCACCTTTCCCTCTCCTCCTTCTGCTGAGAACTTTCTGGAGATGCCAGGCTAAGATGCCTGGTGACATGCAGTGAATACCTGCCAAGACTCTGTCCTGTGAAACCATCCTGAAGATTCAACATGTGCAAGATTCCGGTGCTGATTACCTTCTCAGTGTGTTGTCTGTCTTCTTCCCTTCTTGAAGGTTATATTTGCCAACCTGTGAGTTCTGGGGAATGAGCGACAGCCTGGAGTCATGGTGCTCTAGCTAACCCCAGGCAGATTGTTTCTACTGTCTGGACTCCCTCATGAGGACTCCGTGCATGATAGAGATGCCCTCCAAAGTTCTAGGGAACATGCAGAAGGACAAGCCTCTGCTCAGAGTGCCATGCTCCACCACAAGTGGAAGCAGGCAAGGAATTCAGCCTCGCATTTGTTCACTTCAGTGATATTACGGGACATTCAATTTACAACCCAGAAACTCTCTAAATACCCACCCTCATCTTTGACTCCTGCACCCCTCACGGCTCCTGTCGTGTCTGTTGCATGATGCTTTCCTCAAACCCAGCCCAGCTGAACCTCTCTTGCCTCTAATCCAGTGCCACCTTTTATGGGTTAGCTCTGCCCTTCCAAAGCCCTGCCTGCCTCCTGTTGCTCCTTCTTGTCCTTCTCCTTTCTAGCCATGGATCTTCCTTAGGCCTGAGCCACGCATTGTGCAAAAGATTGGAGCTTGCAGAGAAACACTGGAGCTTTTGGCACTTGCCCTGCATTTTGGCCCCTCAGGGGTCACAGTGAGGTGTCATTGATGGCTGGTGCAGAAGTCTAAGGATGGAGACGATTTTCAGGAGCAAAGCCCTGGCTGGATAAGCAGCACAGTGAGAGCTCTGGGGCTGCAGCAGACTCTGTGAGAGTGCTGTCCCCATGTGCAGTGGAAATATGATCCCATCCTGGAGGCAGCCTTCTTTTAAATTTAGAGGAAAACATTCAACTCTGAGTTGAGAAGTCTCAGACCCTACAATGCTCCCAGCTTTACCTCTGAAAATGGGTTCTTGAATAGAACAAAGATCCACCTTCTGAGCCTACTGTGGTCTGAGTTTGCTGTCTTTCACCTACACATCCTGGCTCTCAGACTGAAACTCATCTGTCACTTCTTCTGATCACAGATGAGCAAACGTTGGATGTAAAGGTTGATTCCGTTCATGTCAGTTCTTTTCCGTAGAGGGGATTCATAGCTGCCCATCCCCAAGAGCTGAGCAGGAGGTACAATCTGGCCCATTGGTAGCCATGGGCTGCACTACTGGGTAGGGGATGTCTTGTCAGGAAGAGGCAGCTGCTTAGGTCAGGGATGACTGGGTACAAAGAGAGGTAACTGCTGCTCCAGATCTTCATGTAGCAGGCTCAGCAGTGAAAACCTCCTCCTCCCCTCATCCTGCTCCCCTTTCGCTCATCCTTTTCCATGCCTTTCTAGTCTTTACAGTGATCAGGGCAGACAACCGAAGCATTGGGGACTTTCCAAAAGCAGGGACTTTCCCAGAGTGCTGCACTGTGAACCTGGAGGAAAGCTGTGGAGTGCTTGATGTCCAGGCAGGGACTGTTTGTTCCCCTTGGGCTGTCCCACGTCCTGCTCTCTTCCTATCACCTTTGCTGAGGAAAGTGTTTCCACTTTGCTGCTGGCTCTTAGCACATAGGCACCCGCCCTAGAGATGGCTTGGCTGCAGCCTGACTGGGCTCTGGTCCCAAGCACCTTGGCTGTCAGCTTTGCCCAGGCCCAGAGAGTGCTGGAATGGACCCACGAGGATGCGCCTCTCAACCTGCATGCCCTCTGCTCTACCCACGTGAGATGCAGTGAAGGGTGGAGCAAGGGTGGTGCAGCCGAGGGCATGTTGGCGTGGGCCTGTGGCATTCAACTTATCCTGCAAACAAGACTGGTGACTCAGGAATTTGGAGATTTAAGCACCAGCCCATCTTTGTTCTGCGACCTCAGCACACGCATTCTGTCTCTTCCTTTGCTGAGAGTGGTAACTTTGCTTCACAAGGTGATGTAAAGTTTAAACAAAACAGATAAGAACACTTTTAAAGCATCAAGAGTTATGGCTATTTTTTACTTCCATCTGAAGGAAGATTTAAAGGTCAACTATAGTCTATATGCTATCTAAGTCACACAGATCAAAAATGTTTCAGTTACGTTACAGAAAATATTTCCAATTCAGTTATAAATCACCCAGTTATTCCAAAAATGGAGTAATTAACCAACAAAGTCAGGATTCTTTTTACATAAAAGACATTTTTTTTCGTTTATATATTTGTTCAACATACACACTCACTACCTCTATTGGAAACATTACTGTATGCCTATATCTTGAGCCTGTATTTTAAAGATCATCTTTCTTCTGTCATTTGTTTGAAAATACACACACACACACACATGCACACACACATGGATAAGCACAGGAAAAGCACATACACACATGCACACAAGTCTTCCCAAAACCATCTGGAAGAACAGCAATCCTTCTCTAGTTCCCCATTTATATAAAAATATAAATATACCCGAAAAAATAGCATTTGTACTGTTTACTAAATATTCATGCCAGTAGTACAGTTTTTGATGCCAGTAGTACAATCATTGTAGTTAATGATTGACACTGATTATACCCAAGGAGATACAGCCACTGTGCTCCATCAGTCTATTTAGGTCCGATATTCAAATTTACCAATGTACTATGACAGTCTAGCACTGTTTTCCCTTGCTGTAGGACAAACTGCATGGACAGATAGTCATGAGGTAGTAGCTTAATCCCTGGTGGAGAGGGGAACATTAGTTTTCTTTTCGCTTCTTCTTTTTTTGGTCAGTACTCACTGGGGTTTGAACCCAGGGATTTTACACTGAGCTATGTTCCAAGCCCCTTTTTAAATTTTGTTATTTTAAGAAAGGGTCCCACTAAGTTGCTAAATTGCCTAGGCTGGGCTTGAACTTGTGATTCTCCTGCCTCAGCCTCCCAGAGTGCTAGGATTATAGGTACATATCACCACATCAGCTAGAAATGTCAGTTTTATCACTCAAATCTTGATGAGCACCAGGCCGGCTACTTTTTTCTATGAGAATGCTGAGGTCTCTGGGTATAGGTGTCGAAGCTCTGAGAGTGGCTTTCTTTATGTACCTCTCATAAAAGTATCTCTTGCTAACCTATGCCACTTGTACGTGCTTTCCCATTTTCCTGCATTTCGGGGTGGTTCTCTCCATTTTGCCTTCTTTCTGTACCACATACCGATATCCAGTTCCTCAGACTGAACTGGTCTTCTGGAGACATTAACATGATGAATTCGTTGGCTTCCATCTTCCCCTTTTCTGACTTTATTTTCTCCTGGGGGAGATGCTGGTTTCTAAGGAAACTTCTTCACATACAGGAAAGATCTCACCCCCTAGGTATTGATTTCATAATTTTAGAGCAAATTTCCAGGCACTATTGTTGGCATTTCTTCTACAAACACACCAATAACTTTCTATGGGGCTTTTCCAAAAACTCATTGATTCATTCACTCACACCATATTTATTAAGCCCTTCTCAAGCCACAGAGCACTGTGCTCTTGAAAATGAGCTTTTGGGCTCGAATTGCTTAACTCAGTACTAAGTTTTAGATGGTGATGAATAACTTGAAGGCACATTTGCTCATTTCTAAATATGAAACTCTGGTTTGTGTTTAATTTTTTTCCTTTTTGACTTGGAGCTGTGAAGATGAAAGAGGGGCATATAGTATTTGGGTCATTTTTCCTGATGGGACATCAAATGATTGAAGATAAAAATCAAGTCACAAGGATGTAATAAATGACACCCACAGGTATATCCTAATATATGCTCAATGTGTGCTTTATGTTTCCCAAGATACTACATTAGTACTTATCCAGTAATCTAGCTTACTCTGCAAATATAACCTCCTGTTCCCATTTCACAGCATTAAGTACCTTCTGGGCATTATTCAGAAATCTTCCTCCAGTGAAAGATGTCGAGAGACCAGAACCTGCTGGTTGGCTTTGGGTCCTAACACTAGGTAAGACC